ATTCGACATCATCAGCATGTCATTGTATCGGATGCCGCCAGGGCCTGGAGCAGTGCTGCGCGATTTCTTGAGGCAAGTTCTTAAGGTGTCTGCAGTGATTGTGAAATCAGTGCCTAGCTCAGTGTTCTTGCACAGCATCGACAGTTTCATCTTAACCCCTATTCTTGCAGCTTCGTCTTTTTGGTCAGTTTGCTCCAAGTAGCGCGCAAGAAGGGTTTTTCCTTTATCAGCATCAGTTCTCTGCCATATCAGGTCTGTACCCTGAAAATCAGGGATACCCCTTGGTCGTGCGGCGCCGTGCATGCTCCGTTGAAGGCGCCAGAATGTCACAAGAGATCCCTCGGAGCAAACGCTCTTGCAGAATTCGTTCCATTTCGCTGTCTTGGCTTCTTTGGCAATTAACTTGAAAGCCACTGTCCGCTTGTGTAACCTCATCTTTTAGACTGATCAGGCGTTCAGAAAGTGACGGATCAATTTTCCTTGCCTTTTGCCATGCCTTGACAGCGTTCCTTTTTTCTAGCCACGCCATGTTGACTACTTCATTCCACCATGGTGGCTGGGCCCATCTCTCCCGCCGTCTGCGATCTGCTCTTGTTTTACGTCGTCTGATTTTGCTAATGGCATCTTGCCCTGTACGGTCATATAGAAAAGCAGGCACATTGATTACATGACCTTTGTTGTTGCTCTTCTCCACCAGGACGACGCAAGGAAAGTGATCACTGTCATGGTATCCCAGTGTGCTCCACCTGCATCCTGATGCAATGGAGGGAGACACTAGGGCCAGGTCAATTACGCTGTCAGAATCCCCTTGTCGGGTTGCCATTCGGGTAACCTTTCCGTCGTTCAAGCATACTAGATCGGCAGACACTAGGGCATCCTCCAGGTCTTCCTAATATACAGTTCAATCTGGAAATTAGGTTTACAACATTTGCTGAAATCAGATGCTCTGTTTTCTAACACAGAGATCACAATGTATTAAACGCTGATAATACCAGTTGTCCTATATGGCTCAAAAACCTGAAGTACAGCTAAAAGCGATGAAGCCTTTGTACAAACTTTTGAGAACAGAGCCTGAAAACAATTATTTTTACCCATCAAAGATGCAAACAGTAGAGAATGGAGAGTGAGAACAAACAACAAAATTCATAAACTTTTTAAATGGCATCATTAGTGCTAATAGACTGCGGTGAGAATATAGATAGTATGGCAGGTAACAGAGAGACAAAACTGCCTACACAAAAGAGTTCAGTGAAAGTAGACCCTGAGGCCTACCAGTAAGTTAGTGGAGAGATATTATATATATATATATATATATATATATATATATATATATATATATATATATATATATATATATATATATATATATATATATATATATATATATATATGCAGACTTACGGACACTTGGAGTCACCTGCAGAAAGAAAAATAAGTGATAATATTAATAATTAGTGGAATAAGGTAATAGTAGAAAAATTAATTTGTGTGTGAAATCATTATGCTTAGTTCAGTAAATGAAAAAAAAAAGTATACAACTGTTAGCTTGCAAATGTGTATAAAGGACATGCCCCCAGCTTTGAATACTTGTTTCATTTGCTTCTTTAGCACCTTGCAGTATGTTAGTTTCATCATCATTAAAAGCTTATAAATATATATAGAATGATTGAAACTATTATAACATGCTTGCATAAAAAGAAGGTTATTAAGGATTGCATTTGCTCTGTTGACAATAAAACCTGCAGGAGGCCTTACTCACTGAGGTGGTTGTTTTCTGATAGTATTCACATGTTTGTGTGGGTGCCTGACTCATCGAAGAGGTGATAATTCAGAACTGTGCAGACTTATATGCTGTTATGTGGTGCCAATTGATGCTTTGAGTCAGGCTTAATAGAATGGTGCTGATTGTTATATTTAAGATATTTTTCATTTAGGGTTTAGAGTTTTGTAAAGATTTGTTTAGAGCCTGTTTTTTTTTTTTTTACAGTAGAATTTATACAGTTAAAGGTGAGAAAATAAGGAAAGCTTCCCAGCACAATCTTTATTCTTTCAAATAACCAGTATTAAGTGCCTCCTAAGTATCCCTAACACCAGATCATTGATTACCTCTGTGAATTTCATGTATTAGGAGAATGAAAAGAGGAAACCCTTTGTATAGTGCTAGACAGACAGCCTGTGGTTTGCAGATAGAAATATAAAGGACTTATATGTGATATTTCTTAACTCTTAGGAGGCTGACAAATTGAATTTGCATAAAAGTATAAATAAAAATTATGTTAGAAGAAGAAAGGAATCAAGAACTTGGTAGCTGATAGCAAGATTGATGAAGGCAAAGAGAAAAATACCTGGATAGCTTGGCCAGATGGATGGGACGTAACAAAAATATTGAATTAATCTGTGCTTCTGATGGTTCGTGTAAGATGGCGAAACATGACAGTCTATGCTCACAAGCACAGCACATGATAATGATGCTAAAATTATTCAGTAATCATGTATAAACGAGTAATTTGTAAGACTGATAATGCTGTGATTTAACAGAAAAATATCTAATACTATTTTGTGTGTGTGTCATAAAAAGCTGTTTAAGATTGGCTGTATTTACATTGTACAAATTGGCACTGGTACTCAATACTTTTAAGAAACAATGATTTAAAAAATATATTGATAAGAATTTTACCTATTTAATGTAATGTTTGCAGTTACATAATAAAGTCAGAAAGAAATTGCATTGTTGTTGAGCAAAAATTGCATTATAGATGCACATATTTTGAGAGTATTTGTTTTCCCTAGCGGGGACGACCAGTAGCTTTAGTAGTAAGTATTTTGGACTTATAAATAATAGAAATAACAGATCCATATATATATATATATATATATATATATATATATATATATATATAGATATATATTACTCTCGTATATTCTATAGCATTATAAGTGTGTGCATACTCTGTATAGTTAATGTCAATGTGGTTTGTACTCTTGACACAGTGCTTCTGGTGCTTTCACATGGTGGTTTGGAATATGACTTTTCCTTCTAAGCTAATTTTAAAATGAATTTGTTTGCTATGACAGCATTTCTTAAACCTTTTTTCATCTTCCTTTTTAAACCACACTTATTACTATTAAGGTTTTTTTCGTAAACTATACTATATATGATGATAGGCCAATATCTCTAGTCAGCATTTTTGGAATCAGTTCTACAAAAAATGTATTCATTTATATTTTCCTAAAGTTAAAAAAAAAATTATAATTATAATTAATTGTTTACCTATCTGTTGATGCTATAATCTCACTGTATTTGTGAAGTCACTGGAGACACTTTTCCATATTACTAATTCTATCATAATACTCAGTGTTTGTTCACATAAACTGTTCACTCTTATTGTAACACTTTTACTAATTTCTGTGTTTGGTTGGTACTTTTTAAGAATACACAACGAATCTCTCAATAAAAATTATTGCATGACATGGATTGTCAGAACCAGCATGTACATGAAGTTTAGAAGACTATGTATCTTGCAACATGGGCAGCCATTATGCACCTTCTCAAACATAGATCATTCCTATAAGATAACAAGAAAAATAAGCAGTTCTGTTTCAGCCATTTGATCAGACCATTATTTCTGAATCATAACAATCTGCTATGTTGATTGCTAATTCTCTGCTATGTATGAAAAGGCAATATAGATGCAGTACTGAGTTTTTTGTATCAAATAATGACTTGATGAGCTAAGCATATCGGTTGTGTTTGCTCTGCTGAAGTATCAATATCTTGTTCAAGTAGCTCTTCCACAGCTGACACTGAAAGACACTTTAGATGGACAAAGGAAGAGAAATCTGCTCAAAGTGGGATTAAAAATGCACTACTTTTTTGTGTACCTGTGTCATATGTTGAGATTTTTTGGGGCAAACGGACAGATGTCTACCGTTTGTGCCACTGACATGTTTATTATTGCCAGATTTGAAATTATTTACTAAAATATGAATGCACAGATTTATCATAACTCAAACTGGAAGACATCAAATATTAATATATTAAGGCAGAACTTCAAACCCTCTTAAAAAAACATTTGGTTTAAAGCAAAACGGTGATGCCCTCTCCCTTCTTTTTTAATTAGCACAGGAGAAAATTATAAGGAATGTAAAAGAAGATTGTGTTGTATGAGAAACAAGAATACCTGGTTATGCAGATGGCTAGGTACAGTAGCGACAAAGTAAATGAGAGGCTGAAAACACTGACTCTTTTGAAGGAAGCAGCAAAAAAAATAGTCTGGCCATTTGGTAATGAGACAGATTTTATTATGGCAAAGATAAACAGACTATCCATGAAGCAAAGCATATCATCCAAGAAGACACCACTCATTTGTGGTTTGGCTAAATTCCAATGCTGCTTGTTCAGCAGGTGACAAATAACCCACCAATTTGTTCAGCTAGTGAGACAAGTTAAATACTTTTGAGCATAGGCTATTAAACAAATCTTGAAACCATCAAAATTGCAAACAGTGAAGAATGGAGAGCAAGAACTAGCAACAGAATTGATGGTCTGTTTAAATCACCACTAATAACTGGCATAATTAAGGCTAGTAGACTCCATTGAACATATAGAACATATAGAAAGAATGGCAGGTAAGAGACAAGAAGAAACTGCCCACACAAAAGACATGAATAGAATAGACCATGAGTAAGACCAAGAAGACAATTGAGATAATTTACAGGCAGACCTACAAACACTGAGCCACCAACTGAAAACAGAAAACCAGTTAGAGAAATGAATGGAGGCAGGTGTCATCTACAGCAATGAACCTCAAGGGTTGGGATTGCTGAAGAAGAGGAAAAAGATTCAGCATAGAAGTATTAGCCTCCACAAAGTTATAACATTGGTAAAAAAAAAATGTATACCAGAGTTGTCAAGTAGAAACAGTATATGCAGATTATTTGTAGCTTACATTGTTAGTTGTTAAAATATATTTTCTGTCACATAAACCTTCTCCTTTCAGACAAAATCTCAGGAAACACAAAGCATTAAAGTGAAAATTGACAAGGATTCCAAATCTGTGTCCATGAAGGTAGTAATTACCACCTGATCCTTCTTACCCCTCCCATCAGATCTAATTTGCCTTTTGGTGTAGTTTGCATTTGCCTATGGTTGTCTTGCTCATGGCTCGTAGTGCATGTTTTGGTAGACACTAATTGATGATGATAATTTTTACATTAGCTAACATTAACTGCCACTCATCCCTTTTCCAAAACTCAAATTGTTGTAGCACAAGAATAAGATTAGTGTACTTTATGACTTGTCTGTCTTCAAAATAAAAGCAGTCTAGTTAAGACTGGATTATAATTCACAACACTGAGTTGCTTTATAGTGTGAACACATTTTAGCACTCACTCTTGGTGAACTTGCACACACACACATACAAATATATGTGTAAAACACTGCAAACCATAGCAGATTTATGTTTACTGGGACAGATGTTGGCTTGATTAATTTGGAGAACTCTACATTAGGCCCTTTTTGTAAGCTTCATGTGCAATCATTCCTTAATAATACTTAAGTTAGAGGTGGAACTGGCAGAAGTGTATTTAAGTGCTGGGTTTTGATTGTGAAATATGTAATGGTCTGACTGTGAATCATGAATTTAAAACTAGCATCATAACACTCAAGAAATTCTCATAAATGCTTCGTCCCTATCTTTAGCAGCAAGCACAGAGTTCCAGTTCTGATGGTGCCTGTTACAGTCTGATTGTGTGTCCACCTCCCCCTCCCGTGAGTGATGAGCTTTGGCCAGATCCCCTGGCACTCTTCAGTGCACCATCTTTTTTCAGACCATAATGATCTCATTGTGTCTCTGGGCTGTTTGCTTGTTCCCAAAGAGCTCTTACAACATCTGGCTTGTCATGCATCAGTAGTTAATAGGATACACCATTCAAATTTCACAGCATTTTGTTCATTTACTCTAGGCCTGTAGGTTCCTAATAACTGGGTTCTTTAGTTTGCATAATATCACATCTCTTAACAAACATGTCATGGTTCTAGAACACTGTTCTATGGTGACTGTCTAGGACTTTGTTAAGAACACACTTTTGTCTTGTTGTCGTAGAACAGATTTCTCTTTTACTCACTACGATTGGGGTGCAGGTTTAAATTCTCCCTCCTAATGCAAATGAGACACCAAGACAACTGTCTTTTGATGCAAACAGCAGACAGTGTCCCGGGATACTCAGATACAGACTCAAATTGGCTTGTGTAAGAATGTATGCTGACTGAATAGCCCCAGAATTAAGAAAAGAAAGTCTAGATGCCTAGAGAACACATACTAAATGCATAGCTAGACAGAGCAAATTACCAGTCCCGACATGTTTCCTTTCTGGACATTATATTAAGCCCCCACCTAGAAGAGGTATATTGACAGACAGCACTGAACTGACACCATACACATATCTAGAAATACAATTAAACTTGAACTTGAATGTAAATTAATCATGTCAATATACCTCTTCTAGATGGGGGCTTAATACCGATCATCACCAACAAATGATAAAGATGCATCAGTTAAGGAAGAATTTTTCATGCAGCTTCAAAATATTATAAATAATGAAAGAAAGGGCAATATAAAAATTTTGATGGGTGACCTGAATGCTAAGATAGGATCAGATAACACATGTTGTGAAGAGATTACGGGAAGACATGGTCTGGTATTTATTAATGAAAATGAAGAATTATTCACAAATGTTTGTGCAGGAAACCACTATGTGGAAGTATTTTTCCCCTATATAAGAATACATAAGGCAACATGGGAATCACCAGACCATAAGACAACCAATCATATTGATCACCTATGTATTAACAAAAAGTTTGGATAATCCCTTTATGATGTTAGGGCTTTCTGAGGTTGCTGATGTATTTTCTGACCATTTTCTGTTGGTAAGTAAAATCAAGTTGAATCTTAAAAGATACATAAGATCTTATAATCATAGAAACAAGTATAATGTAGGTTATGTCATGGATAAAAAAAAAGTTAAGGAACAATTTTTAGTAACAGTCTCTAATAAGTACCAGATGTTGCAGCAGTTAGCTGGAGATGTAAGTACTGAAGTCTGCTGGGATCAAATCAAGGGAATCTGGAATGAATCTTGTGTAGAAGTTCTTGGTAAGAAAGGACCAGACTATAAGACTATAAATTATTAATTTAGTAAAGGCAACAAATAAAGACATGAAATGTCCAGTTCTTTATAAGGGAAAGCTAATAGATACATACTAAATTAAAAACAGGTGTGCGACAACGATGTCTCTTGTCGCCTCTCCTATTTTAACTGGGAGACTGGATTATGAAGACAGTAATTGCTAACACCAAGAATGGAATTCTTGGACCCCTACCTAACAGCTTGATGATCTAGACTTCACTGATGATATTTCTCTTCTGTCCGATTCACGGAATCAAATGCAAGATAAATTAAATATACTTGATGCGAGATCACAGCAGCTAGCTCTGAAAATCCATAAAGGAAAGACAAAGATAATAAGAATAAATCAGGCAAATAGTGATATGTTTTCTCCTGATGGATCCCCACTCTAAGATGTGGAGTCATACATCTATTTGGGCAGTAATGTAGATAAAGATGGGGGAACTGATAGAGATATTAAAATAAGAATACAAAAAGCAAAAGGAGCTTTCATAGCAGTAGGGTATTTGTGGAGGTCAAAAGAAATTAACAGAAATACTAAACTTAACATTTGTTATTATAATGTCAGATCAGTACTGTTGTATGGGGCGGAAACAGGGAGAACTGCTAAGGCAATTACTAATAAACTACAGACATTCATTAACTAGTGCCTGCGCAGAATATAGGGAGTTAAATGGTATGATAGAATCATTAATGTAGAGCTTCAAGAGAGAACTAAGCAAGCCCCAGTGGACCAAGAGGTGAAGAAAAGATGCTGCGTTGGATAGGACACACATTGAGAAAACCAGAGAACAATATAACTGGAACTAATATTTCTGGTATTTTGCTTATGGTGGGGGTTTATGTGGGCTTTAATGTAACTACACTGATTGCTGTTAGCTTTTATCAGGCTTTACTATCTTCACAAAAATAATTTTTTTTTTAAACATCATTATCAATTTTTTTTAAAAATTGTTGCTTATATCAGACATAAATCCATCCCTCCATTATGTGTTGCTGGCAGTAGCAGTTTTAAACCGGTAATCGTAAGCCATCTCCACTATTAAATTTTGGCAGTGGGTTTTCAGTACTTTCTGTCTTTTGTCGTGATATTACACTATCTCAGACTGCTGATTTTTTTTAATCTTTCAGTAGCTATCTTTTCATTCCCACTCTGTCCAGAACAATTGTATTTGTTTTTTCCCTAGATCTAAATGTCTCTTCTAGAATGAATTAAGAATTGACATCACTGCACTCGGGACATTCCTGCACATGCTCCATCCCCTGCTTTAGTAAACAGCCAAGAGTTGACATGCTAATAGAACTGGTTGCAACCTGATTAAAAGTCTGCCTGTTTCCGCTTCAATGTTGAATGTCTTCCATAACCTCTATCTACCCTCTCCCTCCATGTCCACATACCCCGTGCCTTTTGACTTTGTAACTGCTTGTTAATTGTCCAAGTCTCTGCACAATACGGATACAGCTAGGATAGAATAGAAAAAAAAAAAAGACTCTCACAGCTAGAATGACTTTCTGCTGGAGATCTAACTTGATTGGCAAGCTGGCAGCCTCTGAAGTGGTTTCAATACCTCTGGCTGTATCCATGTTCTCTGCACATTATAAAAAGGTTAAGTTTAACATTTAACAATTCTTATTTGTAATGTATTGTTTGTATCTGTAGACATTTATGATTTTTTTTTTAAATATTGAAGATATGTTTAACCATTCTTATTCTGCTTTTAATTTCTAATGCTTTCTGTCGTAGTCTTTTGTTGGTTGCCATTTTTCATCTTTCCAGATTAGAGGCTAATATTTTGCTGTGGGGAAGCATGGGAATAACAATTGAAACCAATACCAGGTGTGACTAGCAAGATGCATGGTTTTGTTGATGTTTGAAACATTATAATTTCATTAAAATAAATATCAGTACTCAAGTCTTTTTTATAAACATGAAAACGTACACTGAAAAACATGTATACAGACATACAAGAAATAGGAATGGTTTACCAGCTCCCTGAGTTAGCTGAATAGTCAAATAGAACTATTCAAGTATAATGTATTTTTAGATAATCCAGGGAAGATAGAATAGCCTAGCTAGAATTCTAACAGATGAATAAAAGAGTGAAAATAATATTCACTCATACCTGGGAAAATTCCAGCAATTTGCTAAAAAAAAAAGACTTGCACTGCTAGAATGACTTTCTGGTGAAAATCTTAACTGATTGGCATGCTGGCAGCTTCTGAAGTGGTTTCAAGACCTCTAGCCGAATTAATCTTTCCCTTCATCCGAGTTAACAGTTTGGCTCCTCCCACTATCTGTATCAAAACTCTTTTCTTAATGAGAGGCTTTGAGCCCCACCCCTGAAAGTTCCTTTAGACTACCATTATCTTTCCTTGTGGCTGTCAGTCAGTTAACTGCCCACCTACTGATCCCACTTTCTAAAGTGGATCCCACCTGGTTCTATCCAGTGTCAATACAAGGTGTGACAAAACATTCAAGTGGAGCCATCATGTCTGGACTATACCCCTGCCTAGGTTAGTTTCTCTGTGTTGGCCAGTTCAGAAAGGCTGATTGTATAACATTTCTGATACCTGGTCTGAGGCTGTCTGTTAACACTTCATTCTGAAAGGTGTCACCCTTATCCTGGCCTGCAGTTCAAGAAAGATCATCTCAGGGGAAGATAATTACTTTTGTGACCAGCTGCCTACCCATTAGGGTCTCTGGCCAGGAAATAATTATATGGCACTTCACTTCTACAAACAAAACCTGCGGCCACTATGTCTGAGCTTGATCAGTGTTATCTGGATCATTAATACAGGAGTTATACTTCATCTCTAGTATAGGAGTAATTAGGTGGCTTTATTCTGGGTCGACCTAAATTTAGGTTATAGCCCAGGAACATATTTTCTTTATACTTCAAAATACATATAAAATAATTAGGTCGGGGAAAAACACATTCTGAAGTTACAAATCTTGTCACCACAGGTCTATTAGCCATGACATTTTTTGCCAATATTAGCATTTAATGTATAGTTTCCATTTCAATTCTTTTTCTTTCTTTTGTCATCTCATAGATGGCCTGGCCATTGGTTCTTTGTCAATATTTTCCAGACATGTTCTTTTTCCAGGTTACTGTCTAATGCTGGTATTTGTAACAGTGTCTCTTTTATTGTTAGTGACCCTACAGAGACAGCATATTTCACATGTGATGATTTTCTGTTCTAATGCCCTATTCATTGTCCACGTTTGGCACTGGTAGCATAAATTGGGGATGAAGATACAATTAATCATTTACTGTTTTGCCAGAAGGGAAACATTTTGAAGTCTAAGCAGTGGGGCTAACTGGTAGGTGACAGCTTTTGCCTTCTTTACTCTAGCTTCTGTATCTGTCGATTTTGCTACCCTCCATAAATAGGCTTCCTAGATATTTGAATTCTTGTACTTGTTTAACTCTAGTACTGTTAACATGGACATTAATGTTATTATCTTTCCTGCCTATTTTTATAACCTCAGTTTTCGTGGTATTTATTCTCATATCATACTTTGTGTAGGTTTGATGTAAGGAGTCAATGTAGTGCTGTAAATTGTTGGTGGTTTGTTAGACATTGATCGTCTGCAAAACGAAGTTCATTGATTTCTTTAGTGTCTGTATTTGCCTCCTTTGTTATTCTATCCATGTAAGTAATGAAAAGCAATGGTGAAAGAACACATCCCTTCTGATACCTGATGAGATGGGGAAGCAGTCTGTCTTCTCTTCATGACTTGATAAAGAGCCATGATTTTATCCAATAGTTGACCTTGAGTACCAAAATCTTCTAGAATTTTCCATACTTTAAGTTTTTAAGATTATTTTTAAGCAGTAAAGCCATAATTCCAGATACTTTATTTTATTTTAACAAAGTGTTTGCCGGAATGTGCAGTGCTGATAAGAGTAATCTGTCATGTTTCACCATCTTACACGATCACCATCATTACGGATTAGGTTAGTATTCTTGTCTCACCTGATCTATACAGCTGATCCAAATTCTCTTTCTATCAGTCTTATCAGCCGTTACCAAGTTCTCAAGTACATTAATAAATACTACATATGGTCAAAATGACTCACTTAAGTAAGTTATGAATTTTACTTTCAAAAAATGTTTCATCCTCACAATGATGGCCATCTGCAACATATCTGTTGCCAAGGGGAAATATTCCAACATCTTTTTAGTCAACCACTTGGATGTCTCTCCTTTTATACAGTTGTCCTCTTCATACACAGCTGCATTCCTAAGGCATATCTAATATAAGTTGGGCGAAACCATACTTTCACTTCTAATGTTTAGAGCCATTATTCATTTAGCTTGTAAACATTTTAAAACATTCCTTTTTCAAACTGCATTAAAAAAATGAATTTATGTACATTAAACAAATATATTTTTGAAGAAAAATATGAACAGGAGCAGGAGCAGAGTGTTAAAAAATTTATTTTTCCTTCTGAAGTGGTTTCAAGACCTCTAGCCGAATTAATCTTTCCCTTCATCCGAGTTAACAGTTTGGCTCCTCCCACTATCTGTATCAAAACTCTTTTCTTAATGAGAGGCTTTGAGCCCCACCCCTGAAAGTTCCTTTAGACTACCATTATCTTTCCTTGTGGCTGTCAGTCAGTTAACTGCCCACCTACTGATCCCACTTTCTAAAGTGGATCCCACCTGGTTCTATCCAGTGTCAATACAAGGTGTGACAAAACATTCAAGTGAAATGATGTTCTTTCTAATATTGTGAGAAATTATTAAAATTCTTAAACAAGTCAGAATTTGTTACATAGCTGAGATGTATGTTTTTGTAACCTATGTTAAGAAATTACTATATTTGTAAAATACAATGAAATTATCTTAAACACAAGGAAAAATAAAACTGATTAAGTATTCAAAATTCACACTTCTTATGGCTATATGAACACTAAACAGTTTTTAAATAGATTTGTCCAGAATCCATTTATCATGAAAACAGAGTTTGTGACGTGCTTAGAAATGAAGGAACTGATATTTTGAATTTGTATGCCTATTGTAACCAATTGTTTCAACATTTTCTTTCCTAGAATAGAGCAAGTGATCCACCTAAATTTAAGGGCAATAAAGAGTTAATGCCAGCTTCCATGAGGGTGAAGGATGCAGCGGAGGCCCTGCTGACATGCATCATTGATCAAGTGGTTGGTATTGTGTACCTTGAAGTTCTTAAGGGGTTGTCCTACATTAGCCTGCTTATTTCCTTGAAGAAATTGTGGTTTTGTGGTTTCTGAACAAAGAACATTTCAAAGAAAATGTATCTTCATGTTTAATAAATCTAAAGGAATGCATATGATAGAATGGAACCAGGAAATAGACTGTTCGCCTTATATGACATGTAAACGGCACAATAAAATAATGATTAAATATTTTAATCATGGATTATTTTACTTCCTTAAATGGAATAGCATTATTGTTGATTAAATATTTGTTTATATTTGAATAAAACTAAAGCTCATTTGTCGGACAGTAGTTGGTCATAGATATATAGCACTAATTTTCCAGTAGTGTTAAATAACAGGTAAAAAACAACTGCATCGTAATTTCACTAGTTGATGCAAATAAATAAATTGGCAGATTTTTGCGATCGAACAGTGGGGAATGGATAAGTGGATAGACAGAATTTATTTTCAAAGCGTTAAGATTTGCACATGCATACCTATGTAACACTCTATCATTCTATTAACACAGTTATTTCTCACCTTTAATTCACACACCTCTTTTTTTTAGGTTACTGTTACACAGCAACTGGAATGATAAGAGCATTAAATTATGCATGAAAAAATTTGCTGTGATCAGTACAGTAGTGGAGGGAGCTGAGCAGATTTGATTAACAGAGCAGAGCAGTGTAAAACTAATTAATCCTAGGTGAAAGGAGCTATGTGGTGTAGACCACCATTCTTAAACATTTTTACTCCTGTGGAGCAGAAAGATAGGAGAAATATTTAGTGGACTGGCTGACAGCTAAGACAGAAATGAAAGCAAATGTGGATGAAAATAAGTTGTTTTCTGTCAAGGACCTAGTTTAGTGTATCATAACTGTGGCTTGCATTGTAAGCCGGTAACAGATAAATCTGACTAACACGCACCGAGCGGAACACTTACGGAGCACACACAAAATCTTTAATCTACAAAGAGCATTAAACTAATGGCAGTACACCTCAAGAACTGCAGGTGCCCCTTATTCGAAACACAGGCTGTACCAGCTTTACAATCACTGAATCACACCCGAGCCGTTCCCATGAATAAACTCTGGGCTCGAACCCACATCATTCTCATACAGTGCTGTCCAAAGCTGCTGTCTCTGACACAAGAATTCTGAGGCATGCTCAGAGTGAATGGCCAGATATGTGCAAGGAGATGCTAACGCCACAACTAATGCATTATAGGCATGAACAACTGCTTGAACAGAATCTGCGTGAATTATTCCTAATAACACAGTAACGGTACAAAACTAAATCACTTCGTCAAACACCGTACAAATCAAATCACAACTACAACCTAATAGAAACACAAGACAAGGATCAATACACTCATCGGTAATACACTATACTCAACATTTGGTTACACAAAGTCTCTGTCGTAAAGATGCACAAATTCTCTCCACAAATGTACTTTAATCTTTCCTCGATCAGTTCTTTTGTTACTCTACTGAGTTCCCCTCTTTGGGCTGCTCGTGAATTTGGTCAAGCATATCTTTGAGTCTAGCTAATTTGTCCCGGCTTTTCTCGTAGTCACTCAGTCTAGTCACACCTTGAGTTTCATGTCTTGGTCATCTCGTACACAAAGCGGTCCAGCAACATCATTTTGCCAACCTGACATCTGACATTTGCCTTCTCCAAAATGAAGGTTGGCAGTAGTGCATGCACTGCTGCTTTTGAGAATATTATTTGGTGAGGCAGAAATCTTGTCTGCTTTGCGATTCTGAAAACCACAAGAACAGTCTTGTTCCTAAACTGCTGACAGCAGAAATTAAACTTGGTATGTCAAGGATGGGATTGTGAAACAATTTTACAAACCTCTAGAGCTGAACTAAATGTTGATAGTATTTTATGTATTACCCCTTTCACCCTGAGGTGCTACCAATGCCGCATCACCATTTGTTACAAAGACCAGCTTAGTTATTGGCAATGGTTCTGTTTGCACCTGTGTTGTGTCTAGGAAGGCTGGATCAGTTGAGTCAAGTACCATCACAGTACTGGGGACATTCGTATTTGTTTTTAATCTTTATCTTCAGCAGTCAGCAAAAAGTTCCAGTTTTGATGGTACTTGTAGCAGTTTCATTATATGTCCATCTTGTCATTTCTCTTGAGTGTAGAGTATCTGCTAGATCCCTTGGTCACTTCCTGTCACATCATTCTCTCCACATTTAAATAATCTTTTCCTGCTTCTGCTTTCTTCCAAAGGACCTTGATCACATCTAGCTTGTCATACATCAAGTCACCACGTCTGTCTGCCTGCCCATTTTCCAACACACTGCCCACCCTCAAGAAAATATCAGAGGACATTAACTACTGGAGACCTCAAAAGTGATACTTGCTTCTCTAAACGCAACATACCTTTCTCAGCCTTTTTCAGCAAGCTTTGTGTGTCTGGTACAGTCACAACCTGTGTGCAGCTGCTTTTTCCCCCCTCAAGCCAATGAAAAGCTGCCATGACTGCCTCCACGTCTATTCTCAAACAAAGCAGTGTCTAGACCCTTTGGCAATGAACTCCTGTGCACTTCTGCCTCTCGACATAGAGATGATGATATCACCTGGGCGTTATTGTCATGAATCACTTATTGAATTTGTGATTATGCAGTGCACTTCTCTACACAGGTCTGATTTTTTAGAGGGCCGGTTATGATTGTATTTACTAAAATAACTTTTAGCTCAGAAGAGTAAAGGGAGCTCTTTTAAGGCCATTATTAGTTATAACTTGTATTTAGCCTTAACTCACATAGTGATGGGTTGAGAGGGTCAGGAAATTCACCAAGTACATAATAATATATATATATTTTTTTTATGTGTATAAAATTGTTTAATTAGTGACCCGCATAAACTTTTTTAAAAAGATTTTGCAGGAATTTCTGCATTTTATGCCTTTTGCCCCAAGGTTTTTGTGGTAAAGGGTTAAATCTATTGTTGTAAAATTATGGTATTTAGCTAATACGACATCTGAGGATATAAAATATGATGTATATGGCTAAAGCATTGTATCCGAGAGTAGAAGTTCTGTGATAACTTCCATTCTCTTTCTCTTATTGGTTTTTTATTTACCTACACTTTCAGTGCTACGTTCTTATGTGCAGTCTCTTATTCCCTCAGCAACAATATTATGCCTGAATCATATACATTGAACATGATCATATTGTGGTCATATGATAAATACTGACCAGTGAATGAAAGAGCATGTGCTTATCCTCCCTTGGTGCTTAAATTCTGTTTCTGATCATTGAGAAACTGGCCGGGTTGATCCCAAATCCTTCCAAATGCAGGCAGTTTACTGTAACAAATGTGTGTCTAGAAAAACTGTGACAGACTGGACACAGATGTTACAGAAAGGAGAGTGAGTTCACGACAGATCTTGTACAGCTGGCGGGTTAAGTGCATATTGTTGCAACTGAAAAAACTGTCGCCAAAATAAATACAGCAGTACAGGTCTGCGGTTGCTGAAGTATACATTTGCTAGCAAAAGAATTTGATTTGTCAACTGGGATGGTTCAAAAGGTTGTTTGTAAGAAACTGCAGTATTGGTTGGTGTGTTCACAGTAAGTACCATGGATATTGACCGACCAGCATTTGTCGCCTACCTGAGAAATGGGATGCTTGCCACAGTGCCTACAACAGCTTTTCTCACTAACGAATTGTGCATAATTCATTCAGAATAAATGCTTGTTTAATTCTGCCACACCTGTTACTTTCATGCTTTTGTGAAAATTGGAATGGCTTTTAGATGAATGCTCCTTATATTTGTGAAACCCTCTAAGAGTTTGTTTAATTATTCTCAGGGGGCATTTCCACCACCATGTGGACCAGAGTCTTTGTTCTCACTGCTTGATGAACGTTCTTTGCTCAAGTTTGCCAAAGGAAGCGCACTTCCGGAACAAGGGTCACTATTCAAATATTTTGTCATAGATAATTCAGTCATTGTTGGCCTTCTCGAGCAACCTTTGGGAAATATTGAAGGTAATATTGCTGTGTTTTATTATAGTTGTTTTTATATCCTTTAAATTTTACAAAACTTTTCTAATTTGTAGCATTTTCAGATTTAAAAAGCATTCACATCTTGAAGTCTTATTTATGAAAATTGTTTTAATGTCCTCACTTTCTAAGTAGCTATAGAATCAGTATTATACAAAACACACTAGGTAAAACAGTGGAAAAACTAATTTAAAACACCACTGCCTTTCACACTCAGAGAATACAGACAGAATACAGAGTCATGGCATATACTACCCGTCTTTGCACCTGACAGATTTGAAAGTTTTCAAGCCAACGTTGAAAATGTTAGTCGCCATAGGAAGATGCATACGACACATTTTCTTTCTAACAACTAATCTTTCAACTAATGGAACTCAACATTCTCAACCCTTCCCCCCCCCCCCCCCCCCTCTTTTTCCATGTTTTATTCAGTTGATATCTGCTGCACTGTTCTAAAGAAGTGTAGTGCTTCAATGCAGTAGTTAGTCTTTTGAGAGGATTGCAGTGAGCCATGGTTTGCCTCAGGGCTCTCTATTATCTTCATTCCTCTTCTACAACTATAAGTCAAGATCAAAGGAGAACAACTGAGTGGCAGGAACATAGCCGACATAGTTTCAGAACTCACCAGGAGTTGTACTATTATCCTGTTACAACATCTCAGGGGCACAAGTTAATCCATCCAAAGTGATAGTCACCTGGTTCTCACTAATTAATCATATTTTGAAACACTAATGCTCATACCCCAAAGTACTAAAGTGAATCGTATCAGAGCTATTTTTTGGCCAACACTATGCTAACAGTACCAAACATGGACACTTACATCCTCTAATAAACATAAAATTGTGACAACAGAGATGAAATGCCTTAGAAGAGCTGCAGGAGTTTCAAGAAAAGACAGAATACAAACTCAGACGAATGCTAGGAATAAAGCCAGTCTTACAAGTCATCAAAGAACAACACATAAAGTGGTTTGGACACCTACAAGAATGCCCTAGTACTATCTACCACAGCGAGCCACAATGAAGCATTACAACGGGTGCAGAGCTAGCAGAAGATCTCATAAAAGATGGAGTGGTGGCAATAAGAACAACCTTACTGAAATAAACATCACTCCTAAAAGTGCTCTTGACAGAGCTCATCTTCCCTCAACACTGAGGTACAAGGTGGAAGAGAAGAAGAAGAAGAATGCTTATGGTAGAATACAGTAGCTATTACACGGAACGATCTGATTCCATGAAATACCTGGGTATAACACTTGACAGAGCAGATGAATGAGCATTGTCAATCAACAGAGTCACACTACATGAAAGTGTGTAGAACCTATGCATTTGATCATGCCTCATAGTAAATAAAGTTACATTATTTTTAAGTTAAACATTTACACTGTGGAATTCAATTATTGGCACAGAATTAATGAATTCTGAGCAGAAATATAGATACGCGTATAATTTTTAACAAGATGGTTGTCATCTCTTGGTTTATATGTTTCCTGCAGATCCTTTGCCAACAGTCACAGCTCTAATCCGTGGTGCGTTTGGTCGTCATGCCTGGACCATGCAGTTAAGACTTTCTCCGAGAGCTTCTAAGGTGTGTGTATGCTGTTTTTCTATCTGGTTTATTACTCTTGGGAAGTGTATAAAGTGTTTAATCTGTGTTGTCTTTGTAACAAGCTATTTTTTTGCATAATATTAATTATTTTGGACACCAACACTCACCTGCTTTACTCAAGATCACAGGATTGTAATCAAAGACTTTGATAAAAAGAAAGATCTGCATGCGATTTGTTCCTGAAGCCTTGAACCACAGGTCAGAAACAAGAATGTGATGTTTATTGCCAGGATCTACTTTTTAGAGGACAAAAACATGTAACTGCATTGTTGTACGTATTTGTTTTTCCTCTTGGCAGTTAACTCTCTCACTCTGTTTTTATAATCGGGGTGTTTATCACAGATTGAATCAGTCGCATGCTTTCTCATACAGTATCTGCAATCAATGATGAGTAGTTTCTTCTTGCTATAATTATGGTCCTTGGTTGGATACCTTTGTTGATACTGTCTGGAGTATGCTGTTGCTCCGACTTCTATGTTGTCACTGTTTGTTGAGATGAAAATATCTGGATGTGCAGCATAATAATTTTCTCCAATTTGCTCCAGATGTTTAACAGCCATTGGTTTATTTTCTATTAAAAATGTAACCATATGCCCTAGCAGTGATTCAAGCAATTTACTTCTTATTAATAAGTCAACGAGTAATTTGTAGTCGTTTCTAATGTTAGCTGCCTCTACTCACTTCTGAAATTCATTTTGCACTTCAGACAAGTAATCTGTGAATGTTTGATCTGTGATGATGTTTCTTGGTTTCAACTCCACAAACTTCTTCCCATAACCCATTTCATGTAGGTTGTAGTGCTTCATGATTCATTCTTTCACATATTCAAAGTCCAATCTGTTATGTTCTGGAATTTATTCCAAGATCTTCAGTGGCTGAAATGCTAAGTATTTTTGGAAGATCAGTGCATTATCCTCTTTAGGAACCGCTTTCATGCGCATCTGGAGTTCGAAATTTGTAATCCATGAAGCCATATCATTATGTTCACAATAGTTTTTCACTATACCTGTGTGCTTCTTGTATCTGTTCTGCTCTTCAGCCTTGAGTCTTTCCTTTTCTATGGCTGCTTCTCTCCTGGATTCATTCTCCATCTCTTTAGTTTTTATCTGTGTCTCTGCTTTTTTTTTTTTATCAGACTGAATCTGTGCTGCTATTCTGCCTTGTTCAGATTGCATCCTCCGTCTCTTTCTAATGTAATAATTCTTTCTCTTTGATTTATTTCTCTTGTAGTAATTCTTTCTCGTTGAAATCCATATCTCTCTGTTTTAATTCCCCTTTTTTCCCTTTAATCGAATGTTGTGTTCCCTGGAGAGTCTTCTCTCTTCCCTTTCTTCTGCTATCACCTTAAGCTTCTGGTCTAAATATTTTCTTAGTTCATCTCCTTGGAGAACTCCTTACGATAGCAATCCACTGCAACATGTCAGACATGGTTAGAACTGTTCAATCTTTCCAATCAAAAATCTGTACGTGTATTCTCCTTCAAAAGAATTGTATCCTTCCTGTTAGTAACCATGTCTAAGAAATTCAACAATTAACCCTGAAATGCAGGTTAATCATAAGTATTTATCAACAATACATGAAACCAAGTTATTTGTTACTAGCCCAGGTTATAATATCAGCACATTAAACTAGTTGATTACTATCGTGTACCTAGAAAAAAATGAATGTATAAATCACAGCAATATTTATCAACTTTGCAACAATTACTTACAATAAATAAATTAACCACTCTTTATAGGTTTGTAACCTTTTTGAGTCAAGCAAGTTCACACAACCTCTTTTATTCAAGAGTCCAACACTTCTCCTTAATCTGTAAATGATCTGATATATACTTGCCAGACAAATGATACACAACACATATGATTCTGTAATATGTGAATTAGACCAATTATTATCAACAAATAAAATCTTTAAAGTAATTTTCAATTAATTTTACATACCCTGTTATAAATTAATATAAATTTATCAGTCACCTCTGCAAGTTAATTTATAATTTATTCTCAACTCTTTGAGTCCCAGGGGGTTTAGCACAAGAGGTCCAAGGGGTGGTAATGCAATTTTTTTTCAATTTCACAAGTGTAACACATGAAAACATACCATACTAATTCAATTGCCACGCAACATACACGTATTATTCATCAAAGTGACCAGGGATTGTTAAGGAATAATTTTAGAATAAAAATATTAGTAAATAAACAGACAGTATGTTTACAAAAATTAGTAAAATGAAATTTTAAAAATTCCACTTACCAATATGGCACTCAAGAAAAACTGGTTAAATTGTATCCAAAATGAATCACAAATGAATATGAATCACTAAGTAATGTATAAGTAAAATATAAACTCAATCTATACATTAGATTTTGTTCCGGAGAATCTTTTGAAGCACCATAACAGAGCACCATTATTTCTTAAAGAAAACTGACTCTCAAAACAATAAGTATCTTCACACAAAATGAAGTTTATATACCGCTCAATTTGCCTGTAATTTTATAGCTACGTTCCTAAAAAATAAGGGGAATAGCACTTGTACTAACTGACACTGAAGAAAATCATCTTTTCACTAATGTTTATTCTATTTGTGCTAGCTGACTTTGCTATCGCTGTAACCTTCGCATGAGGTACACATAGGACATATCCCTCACCAAAGTTTGACGCTATAAATGACCGAAACATGTCTAATTCGCAAAGTTATCTATCTAACTTCGGATTTAAAAATTTTTTAAAAACCCTTCTTTATTTAAATTTTAGGCTTCTAAGGCCATAAATCATGTTGGCATGCTTGTAGAATACTGCTTGGTGGCCATATTCTTTTCAAACAAACTCTTAGTAACTCGGCAAATCTTGCAAATATACTATATTTTCGGCTTTCAACCCACGTTTCTAAATGAGCACGCCTGATATCAGACACAAAGAACTCGAAAGGAAGTTGAAATTTAGCGGTCTGTGTTTTTCAACCAGTCAGTGGTAGATATAAAACCTTCACTTATCATGCGTCGATTGGGCTGTGCTGTTGTAACAAATTAGCGCAGGATGTGTTTCCTGGGACTCAAAGAGATAATATAAAAAAATTTCTAAAATAATAATAATATGAATGCGTAATTATTGTTATTGACTTCTAATAAATCTTTATATTCTTGTAAACCAAGCTGCAAAACTCTTAAATAGTAATGAATAATACTGATGATTACCTGAAATGATCAATCAAAACAGTATGTTAACCATACTTTCAGTCATCATCATCATGTAGCAGGTCCTTTGCAGAATGTCGCTGTCATCACAGTCTGCCTAAAAGAAACCAGTTCTCCCACCTCATGTACTTTCATACTCAAGGAGTCACTTATATCCTGTGCCCATCTTTGTGTCGGTCGACCCCTGCCTCTCCTTCCTGGTGCCATGCCTTCTGCTATGATTTTTTCCAATCCGTCGTGGCACTTGATATGACCAAAATATTTCAGCTACCGAGAAAGGATGCTATTTAAGGCTGTTCAATCTTTGCATTGCTATGGCCATCCTCCTTTTAATTTCTGTCGAACAGTCTCCATTGCTGTTTATTATAGAGCCTAGATATTCAAAGTTTGTGACATTTTCAATTTCTTCATCATTTATTGTTATTTTTGGGTGACAGCCAGTTTTATCTGTGGACATTATTTTCATTTTCTTTAAATTCAAGAACAGATTTTGATCTTCACTGTGCTTTTGGACAGACAGTATTAAATTTTCTATTCCCTGTTTGAAAGGAGGACTGTGTCATCTGCTTATACTTTCAGTATATGCAAATAAATCACTAATTACATTTAATAAAGTAAACCAAGGCGTATTTATGAACGACTAGGCCTAAATAAATTACCAAATTCGTTTCCGCTGAATTATTCACAGTTTATATGCCATAGCTGATAGATGATGATGACTAATGGCATGAGGCCAAATTTAAATATATTTAAATACACCTAATTCAGTAATCAACAAATAATTAGAAGAAAGCACTTTCTGTATGTTGATTATCCTGTAATCAATAATTATATTACAAAGTTATTAATCACCTTTTTATACACAATAAATTTTATGACTCAACTCTCTTTTTAAATACTTTTGAGTTCACAGACTACCAATGTCATTGTCACAAATGTACACTGAATTTTTCTTCCTTCGCTGTGTACACAGAATTCTGTTTTGTTAATTTGCTTCTATGTAGATCTAACAGAATGTTCCAGAAAATTTGTATTGTTTATAGTTTATCACAGTTGCACTGTTATTCACGCAATAAATCACTGTTCCTTGAAATAATACACATTGCACAATGTATCTAAAATTTAAATATTAGTACTGTACCTCGTTCATCCAAACGTTTCCATCCTAGACTGTAATACCTTTAGATGTGAGCTGCCCTCCCATTCATTCTTGCGTCCTGAGAAGTGATCTTCAAACACGCCTGTTTTCCATCCATCTGCGAAGCTTGTGCGATGTCTGTTCCCTGGCCTGACTTTCCCTGTGTCAGGGGTCGCTGTGTACTTCTGCTAGGAAAATTTTACTCCTGTTAAATTGCAAATCGTTCATAAATTCGGATTTGTTGTTACAAATCGACTGCAGGTCTTTCCTTGCAGTAATTTCTTGTTATTTTGTTCCGCTGACCTTGGCGGTGTTCTCACTGGTGCACTGGTGACATTTTTATCTCTGTGTCAATTTTGCTGTCTTTATCGAGTCGCTAGGCTGATTCATTGTTGACAGTTGTTACATGCGATGTTTAACAAATTTGAAAAGAGTGATTTAAGATGATTTTCTGTCAACTGTAGATACTTTAGTAAGTCGTCACAGAATGCTGCATTACCCAGCAGCACACCTAGCCATCTTCTCAGTTGATTACACAAGTCGTCACAGAATGCTGCATTACCCAGCAGCAGACCTAGCTGTCTTCTCAGTTGATTACACAAGTCGTCACAGAATGCTGCATTACCCAGCAGCAGACTTAGCTGTCTTTTCAGTTGATTACACAAGTTGTCACAGAATGCTGCATTACCCAGCAGCAGACCTAGCCGTCTTCTCAGTTGATTACACAAGTTGTCACAGAATGCTGCATTACCCAGCAGCAGACCTAGCCGTCTTCTCAGTTGATTACACAAGTTGTCACAGAATGCTGCATTACCCAGCAGCAAATCGAGCCGTCTTTTTACAACGATGTTGGGGGAATTGCCAAGTGGTTCGTAGGAACTTGACTCACTCGCCAGTCTCCACCGCTTATTTGAATATTAGTTGCACATATTTCCCACTCCTATTAGACAATGAACACCCTACTGACTGATTCGTTGTCGGTCCTGGAACCTCTCGCTATTGCGTGATGTTCAAAACTTGAAAATCACAGCAGCCATATTTCTTCGGGTGTCCATTAATGAGCCCATGTACCTTCAACGTTGTTCTCCTCATGTGCTCTGGCTGTTTCCTAGGGGATGGTACCATGGCTGAAACACATTAATAATTGACACACAAAGATGTTATTGAAGAGACACAAGTGCAGTTCATATGTTTATTACTCACAGAAGACAATCTGGTCCAGTCACCGTCAGCTACTCTTTTCTTCTTTTTCTTCTTTTTCTTTTTCTTCAGCATTCCGAGCCCTTGAGGTTCATTGCTGCAGATATCATCTGCCTCCATTCATCTCTCTAATTGGCCTTCTCTTTCCATTTGATGACACCAAAGTTTGCAGGTCTGATTGGATATTATCTCTCTATCGTCTTCTTGGTCTGCCTCATGGTCTACGACCATTCATTTCCCTCTTGTATACAGTTTTTATTTCTCTGTCTTCTGACATTCTTTTAATATGCCCCAACCATTTCAGTCTATTAGCTCTCATGATGCCAGTGATCAGTGGTGATTTAAACAGATTATAAATTTTGTTATTGCTTCTCACTCTCCATTCACCACTGTTTGCATCTTTGATGGGTCCAAAGATTCATCGTAATTAAGACTCTGTTTTCAAAAACTTGTAATAAGGCTTCGTCTCTTTTAGCTGTGCTCTAAGTTTTATAGCCATATAAAGTGACTGGTCTTATCAACGTTTTATATATTTTGAGTCTCGTGTTGCGAGACAGACACTTTGACTTTATCAGATGTTGAAGGGCATAGTATACTTTATTTCCAGATTGTATTCTAGATTGTATTTCTTCTCTCAGCATGTTTAAGCAGTTGAAGTTTGCACCCAAGTACATATATGATTCCATTCGTTCAATTTTCATGTTATCAACTTGTGTGTGGTCGGAATTTATATCCTTTTCCTGCCTAGTTATTATCATGTATTCTTTCTTATCTTGATTGATAACTAGTCCAATTTTCTGAGCTGATTCTTTTAAGACAGTCAGTGTTTTAACAGTCTCTAGTTCATTTTCTCCAACTATATCAATGTCATCTGCACATCCAAGTATTCTTGTAGTTTCTTCTATAGTACACTCTTGTTTCAATTTCCTTATAATTTTGCCCAGGGCCAAGTTGAAAAGAAGTGGGGACAGATCATCACCTTGCTTTAAACCAGATGTTTTTTTAAAAGGGTCTGACTTTCTGCCTTTATATATTACTACAAGTGTAATATAGTAATTCAACAAGTAACAATGACAAAGTTCTTCACCGCTGTTCACAGTCATTCTTGTGCGCTCCCTTTGCAATCATGACGTCTCAATCGCGCCACCTGTAAAGATCTCACACAAGCATCTCCGGTCGCTAGTTGTTCAACTCCACCATCAGTTGACAGGATTCTGGCTGGGCAGTCATCTTGCCGAAATCAATCTTCTCCATGCTGTTCAGCTATACCATGTCACATTCACATAAAACACAACCTCTCACGCTGGCTGGGAATCACAAACTCCCAGATTAGACCTTCATCTGACCTTATAAATCTCGTTTTGGGTTGCACGTGTTAGTTTGAGCCCTGCTTGTTTATCTCATGTTTCTATGAGTATCCCCATTCTCACGTATTTCTCTCTTATCTCAAATTTTACTTCCTTATTATTGTTTACAGAGTTCCTGTGGGAAAATACCAACATTACAAATGTTCTTGCAGTCTAATCCCTTATAGTGCATTAAATCAAAGAGGAAGTGTATTTTTTTTAAAAAGTACATACAATGTTCATTTTAGAAATAATATGTTTTTTTAACAATTGTCTTCAAACTTTAGGTCTGACCTGTTGTGTGAGCTTGTGAGTTTTTATCTATTTATTACTGTGGGTGCTAAATTCATGAAGAACCTTTAACACAGCACCTGCAAGTGAGTTCATGGCAACTTATAATTATGAGTCAGGTGGAGACAGGCATGCTCTATGCAGAGTGGCAAGCATCACTTCAGAGGTTCCGGATAGTTAGCATCCTTTGGATACTTTCTCCAGGATATATCGGTGTATTGGGAAATGAGCAGGTGGATAGACTGGCTGGTTCTGAACCGCTTGGTAGTGAACTGATGTATGACAAGCTAGATGTTGTGAGGGCTCTTTGGGAGCAATTGAACAGTGAGGAGGCACAGATAGATCATTACGGTCAGAGGAGAATGGCGATGCGAGGAGTTACAAGGGTATCTGGCTGGCGCTTAACACGCCGAGGAAAGGCGAGATTAAAATACAACCAGACAGTTACTGGTGCGTAAAATTTGGAACTCTGCTGCTGAAGATGGGAACCAAGTGCTTATGGGGGTGTCCCGAGTGCTGTGATATTGATTCTTAATTCAACATTCAGGGACTTTTGCTCAATCTTTGAACTGAAATGCTATTGAACAATTTGTAGAATATCATGGACCAGGAAAAAGAAAAATATTGACATCCTACACAATTTAAACATCAAGGGGAGTTGGCTCACAACAGCATACTCTCCTAAAAACTATTTTGGCCATGCTAAACGTCATTGTGGTCTAGAGAGGATGATGATTAAAGGTTGTTTTTTTCTGGAAAACAACAGAGGCTGACCTCTGCGTAGGTGGATACAAGACATTGGACGCATTGGATATGAAAATGCATAGCGTTGGAAAATTGGCTAGAGAAAGAGAGACCTTCGGGCGTACCATGAAGAGAGCTATGTTCTGTAAAGGGCCTGCTTATTGATGTCTTTGGGATATATATATATATATTTGTGTGTGCATGTGTGCGTGCATGCGGGAGAGAGAGAGAGAGAGAAAGAGAGAGTGAGAATTTGAGAGAGAGAGCTGTTTTTTCTGTTCTGCTGATTGGATGCACATACATTGTTTTATTGGTTGTACTACTGGGATATGAGTGACTTAGTTGCTGTATTATTGATTGTTTATTCATTAATTGCTTAATTTATTGTTTTGCTTGTAATTTAACAAATTAGCTGGTATATCAGTCGCTATGTAATACAAATTATCCATTTTTTTATTCTATATGAGGACAGTACCCATCATCTGTATTTCTATACAATGTTAGTTCAGTTATAAACAGATTTATCACTTATAGATACACACTTGAATTGTATATCTGTGATTGACAGAATCAGTTAAATAAAAACATAAACAAATGAACCATTTGCGTATTTGAACTGTAATTTGTATTTATCTGTAGTTGGACTGTAAATCCATTTAAACTCAATTGTTTCATTTCAATATTATTTCCCCCCAGATTTCTTCAAGAGCACATCTTTCTGACCCAGGTCGACCATTGCCAGATGACAGTGTAGGACAACAGTACAATCTTAAACATCGTCATTTCCCAGAAAGTGTGAATAAAATAGCTCATACTAAAGCGTAAGTGAATATTTAAAAATTTAGCTAGTTTCAGAAATAACTATAGCATTTTAAATCCTGCAAGACTTAAGTGTCCAGAGAATCACAACTGGAAGGATCTTTGTTTAAAAAAAAAAAGGTTGCCAGGCTTATTGAATACAGTATATGATATTTGAAACATACCTGCTGCCCCATTTAATCTATGTTTAGTCATCTTCTTAATTTAGTACTAGTTTTAATTTCTTTGACTTCCATAGATTTCTTATTTCTGTAAAAACTTGTTTGCCTTTTGCAATATTTTTTCAGTATTACTGTCAGATCTTTCATCTCTGTCTATATTCATCAGGCAGTAACAAAAAGTAGAAGTAATAAAAGACATCTCTGTCACACATCTGTTCTGTTTCAAATGTATCTGTTAGTTTTACTTGACATGTCATGTCTTTATATGTTTCCTTAACTAAGTTTATACTTTTCTATGGGATCCCATAGGGCTTCGTCATTTTCCAGATAGATTCCCTGTCAGTGCTGTCAAAAGCCTGTTCACAGTCCACAAATTAAATACAAAGTGATGAATTCAGTTCAGTACTTTGCTCTGTTATTATACGTAGTGAGGCTGTCTGATAAGTACACATTTTTTTGGGGTGAAAACCCGCATATTCATCCCTTAACTGTCTATCATTGGCATTTTTTAGTCTTTTCTAAAATAACCTGACTGAATATTTTGCCAGGAACTGACAACGACTTAATACTCCTATAATTTTCACACTCTTGCACACACCTTTTTGGAAAATTTTCACCAGATTTCCATCTCTCCAATCTGCTGGTATTTCTAAGGTCTCTGGGACTTTACTTAATAATTTGAGTAACATTTTCTTAAGTGTGTTACACTGGTCCTAACTACTTATGCTGGGATATTATCTGTACTATGCTGGATACTATCTGGAGCAGTTTCTCTCTATTTTTGTTTATCCTCATTCTCTGAAGAAGTGATATTTGAACTTGGGTGCAGCAACTTCTTTAGGAGAATGATGGTTGTTTTTCATCTGATAGATATGCAAACCTCCACTGAGTCCTTAAACCTGTTCTGGCTGGGTTTTCTAGCCAATTCTCCAACACTGTGTTTTCATATCTAATGTATCTAATGCCTTTACAAAAATAAATTAAGAAAGTATGAGCCGTCAAATTGGGGTGGAAAAGGGGGGGGGGGGGGCATTTGCCAACAGTGCAAATTGTAAATCTGAGGAAGGCGCTTAAATCCTAGTCAAGTGCTAGTGCTAGGATTGTCCTGGTCGAGTTCTTCCATCCCCCCTTGCAGTGGGCATGAGGAGGCCGTAGATTTGTCAGTCAAGTTTGTGGGGCAATGGAACGGGCCAGGGCGCGATAAGAGCTTCACATGCACTCAGGGCATTTACTAAATACATAGCAATGGTGGAGAGGACGATGAAGTAAAACAAAGAGGAATAAAAACTTTTTTTAAATATCAACCTGCAATGAATGTCATGGGAACAAAACATTCAAAGAAAACTCCCGCTGACAATCGGAAGGCTACTGTTGTGCTTGGCCCACCATGAAATTTCTACTACATAGATGGAAGCGGTAGAGACAAAGATAAAGTACACCAAGTAGAGATTACTAAGTCTACTTTATCTTAGTCTCTACGGCTAGTAGACTTATTAGAGATTACAGCCTTACAGGTCATCAAAGAACAACAAATGAAGTAGTTAGGACACCTAACAAGAATGCCCTGGTACTGTCTACCATGGTGAGCAACACTGAAACATTACAACAGGTATAGAGCAAGTGGAAGACCTCAGGAAAAGATGGAGTGATGGCATTAAGAACAGCCTTATAGAAATGACCATAAATCTTAATAGTGCTCTTGACAAAGCTCACCAACTAACATTACATCTCTCCCCGACACTTTGCTGATGTACAAGTGGAAGAGAAGAAGAAGTATAGATGAAATTTTCTTTCACTATTCCTAGTGAAGCCGGGCAGTCTAGTTTCTAGTGTTTCTTTTCTATAAAGGCGAGGTTTCTTGGCATTGCCATAGTGCGTCTCAGCACCCCGGCCATTATCTACTTCCCTAGGGTGAATATTTTTGGGGTTTACAAAATACAGCCCCCACTACTGATGCATCTTTTGTTTTGGGGGATAGAAAAGTATGTAGCACAGGGAGAAAAGGTGCAGGGGTTAGCTTGCTTAGCACATTGGTAACTTTGGCTCCGGAGTGTGTAGCAGCAAAAGAGTTTTAAAAAAAATTCTCGTAACAAAAAGGAATGATTGATATATAGAGCAGTGTAAAACGAATTAGTGATTGAGAGTACAGGGAGAAATGCAAATATTGCACTGTCAAAGAAGGAGCCATCCTAACAAGAAAACTGGCAGCTACAAGAGTTAGACAAATTGCAAAATCAAGCACTCTTGTGTTACAACAGGCAGTATGAAATGAAAACCTATAGCTGTGATAGAGAAAATGGGGATGACCCAAGCACTGAGATACCAAGATGCTAATACAAGAAGAAAGGTTTCTTAGCATGCCTAGACACCCTATGAATGAAAGATTCCAAAATCTAGCTATGGGGGGACTAAAAAGAAGCAGTTTAATCCACTAGGTCAAACAGCTCTGCAGACAAACCACTGATTGGCCTGCAGCTGATAGCCTCTTAAATGTTTCTCCAGAATGGACCCCCTGGAGAGAGAAATAGAAGTTTCCATTACACATCAAGACAGAAGTGAAAGGATAATTTGTCATGGAAGAACAAAACAGTGTGAAGTGTAAAACAGCCACCCGCAGTCTACTTGATGATGAATAACCTCAGAATCTTTGGGTTCATGTCTACACAGATGGGTCAGCACAAAATGGAGGAGCATCATCATCAGGTGCCTGCCCCACTGGTGTGGGCGATCATGCCTCTCCGTAATCTGCGATCTCCTGTAGCATGTATCAGTTTGTGTGCCGACACACCTCCATGCCATGCAACAAGACTGTCAAGAATCCTCTCTCGTTGTCTTCCTCTATCCCTCCTTCCACAGATCTTTCCAGTGGTCACAACATGTTCTATTTTCTCTCTTCTCATAACATGGCCAAAAAATTATGACTGTCTCCTTCTGATATCTGTGATAAGTTGTCTTCGGGCTCCCGCCTCTTTCAAAACCTCTTGGTTGCTCTTTTTGGCTGTCCAAGGTATTCTAAGCATTCTTCTATAAAACCACATCTCTGAGGACTCTAGAAATTGTTTGGCCCGCCTACCGATTGTCCAGGATTCACAGCCATATGTTAAAACTGGATGTATGTAGCAAGCAAGAATTCTTTTTCTAACTCTCAATGACAAGGATATATTGCACAAGATGTTCTTCATTTTATAAAATGCAGTTTTTGCCTGTCCTATTCTGTTTCTTATTTCAGTTATGCATCTTCCATCTGATGTTATCCATGTGCCCAGATACTTAAATTTCTGTACTTGTCCTAAAATAACACTATCGACTTTTATTACACATTTAGGAATCATTTGTTTCTTTGATACCACCATTACTTCTGTCTTCCCATTATTCAAACTGAGGCCCATTCTTCCACTTTCTAACACCACAATGTCTATCATTTCCTGTAATTCTTTCTGAATTGTTGCCATCCAGACTGTGTCATCAGCATAACGTAAATTGTTTAGTATAATGTGCCCACCAACCTCAATTCCGGGCAAATCAATTAAAGATCTCATTAAAAATTCACTGTATATTGAAAACAAATCAGGTGAAAGTACACATCCTTGTCGTACGCCCTTCTTTATGCTTTGAAATGTACCTAAACAGTTGTTAATTCTTATAGCTGCTGTTTGCTGCCAATACATATTCTCTATTATTTGTAAATCTTTCCCATCAATGTTTAATTTTTCTAACAGTTTGATTACTTCTTCATGCTTCACACAGTCAAATGCTTTTGTATAGTCTATGAAGCATAAGTACAAATCAGTCTTTTCTTCTATAGCTCTTTCTGACAATGTCCTTAGGATGTATATGGCATTGTTTGTACCTTTTCCTTCTACAAATCCACATTGTTCATCGCTGATTTCTGGTTTAATTTTGTTTCTTATTCTTCTCATAATTATTCTCAGTAAAATCTTAGTCATGTGACTCATAAGACTTATTGTGCGATGGTCTTCACATTTTAAAGTGCCTGGTTTCTTTGGCAGAGCTATAAATATGGATTTTAAAAGGTGATTTGGAATATACCCACTATTATAAATATCATTTAAAAGTTTAATTATTATTTCAATTCCAAAATTTCCCATTGCTTCGATTTCTTCCAGTGAGATGTTGTCTGGCCCGGGTGCTTTTCCTTTCTTTATATGATGTATTGCATCCTCAACTTCTGCAGTCATTATTAGTGGACCATCATTGTTGGTCTGCAGTTCTTCGTCTGGTCTATTATCATCATACAATTCCCTTATATACTCTGTCCATCTGTTAATTATATTACTATGTCCCATTAATAAGTCACCATCTTTTGATTTCAAACATCCAGTGCTGTTATGTGTCATCTTTCCTGTTAACATATTTATCTGTTGGTACATGGAATATGAGTCTTTCCTGTGATTTTCCCCAATCTCTGTACACATTTGATTCAGCCAGGCTTCTTTAGCCACTTTGCAATTGTTCACTATTTCTTTTTGTATTCTAGCGTATTCTTCTTTATCATTCTTTTTCTTCCTTCTTTCATCCATCAACTGCAGTATTTCGGTTGACATCCAATTATTTTTTGCAACTCTATGGTTTGGTGGGATTGTCTCTTTTGATGTCTGCTGAATATCCCACTGTTCATCAATAGTCTGTATAATTTCCATTGCATTATACCGGTTTTGTACAGTGATAAATGGAGGAGCATTAGTGTATATTGAGCATCCAAATAATACCAGATATACAGCCAAAATACCAACAGGAAAGCACTGTCACAACTGTGATGCAGAAGTTCAAGCCATCAAAAAAGCAGCAGAGAAACTACTATATACCAGGTATATTTCACA